AAGTGGATTATACTATTAAAAAAAAATCACTTGAAGTTCTCCTCAGCTAGTATTCTCCTGAAATACCCATGGAATTACCATAGAAATTCCTTTTTAGTTCTGCTCAGAATTCGCATTAATTCTTTGAAATGCTCCTCATAATTTCCATGGAACTCTACTTTGAATTTTTTAAAAATTATCACCGGAATATCCTTAGAATGCTTATCGGAATTCCTTTAAAAAAAATATAGTTAAAATTGTGTTGTAACTACCTTCAGAATTCGGGATTTAAGGGAAAGATTACCGCCCCAAAAATAAAAAAAATATTTTCGGCACGTTTTTATTTCTCTAAAAACATTGGAAAAAAATATCAAGAATCCAAGAAAATCAGTTTCATCCTTAGATTCTTGAGAAAATTTACATGTAAACATAGTTTTTCTATCTCATCATGAAAAAAATATTGGACTTTCAGCAAAACCGAAAAGTTGATGTTTTGTGGTTTATTGAGTACAACTTTATGCCATGATAAATTACAAAAAATATTTTTGCATGTGAATTTTCTTTAAAAAATACGAAAAAATGTGATTTTTTTTAGATTTTTGATATCTTTTCCCAATAATTTTAGAAAAATCGAAACTCATTTTTTTTTTCGGAGCGGTATGCTTCCTCTTAATTCCCCTTTTGAATTTTTCCTCAGAATTCCTTTGAAATACTCCTAAGAAATCTATTTGAAATTATTTTCAGAATTCGTTGAATTCACTCCAGAATTCCCTTTGAATTTCTCCTTAGAATTTACTTGCGCGTACTCCTCTCATTTTTCTTTATTTCCCCTCAAAATTTGTTTGGCATTTAAAAGTCAGAACTGTCTTGGAATTCTTTTGTAGCTCTCTTGGAGTTATTCTCAGATTTAATTGTAATCCTTCTTTTAGCATACCCCTAAGTATTCTCCAAAAATTTCCATGGAATTATGCTTTGGATTATTTTTCTCCTTCTTCTTCTTCTTCTTCTTCTTCTTCTTCTTCTTCTTCGCATTTCAAGCTTATTGCATATCGCATATTAGCTTATTGCGTGCTCTCAACTTAGTGTTCTAGATGCACTTCCGCAGTTATTAATTGAGAGCTTTCGATGCCTGTACCATTTTTGCATTGGTATAATTGTGTGGCAAGTCCAATCATACTTCTATGCCCAGGGAAGTCGAGAAATTTTCCAACCCGAAAATTCCTAGACCGAACCGGGAATCGAACCCAGCCACCTCCAGCATGGTCTTGCTTTGTAGCTGCGCCTTTACCGGCTGAGCTAAGGGAGGCCCCGGTATAAACTTATTAAAATTATCCTCTGATCCCGTGGATTTTTTCTTTGAATTGACTTGAAGTTCTTCTGAGAATTCTCTTAAAATATTGTCAAAATTCCATTGGAATTAACCTCGGTAATTCCTATGAATTTTTATAAAAGTTTCCTCTGAATCCTAGTCATAATTTCCGTGGAATTATACTCAGAATTAACTTGGTATTATCCTTAGGTTTGACGTGAAAACCGGAGTTCCTGAGAATAACATTGAAAGCAGATTTAACTGAGCAATTTCCTACGAATTCGCAAATCGGTTTATTTTTGTATTTTTTGATTTGGTTGAAAATTTGCAGAAACGTTTCTTATGACCGACTATGCCATTTTGCATCTTGATATCGCCAATTTGAATCCAGCCTTATTTTTGAAAAAGGCCTATAGAAAAATATCAAGCTTATCTTCAGAAAATTTTTCCTCGAAAACTGTTTGTCCGATCGGTTTGGTGTCTTGGACAATATTGCATATAATGGATGAGACTATTTGGAAAATATATGCTTTCTAAAACATTACCCAACTTTTTTTAAATTTCAAATAAAATCTTAAAAACAATTTTTCTCATAAAAGGATTTTTTTGTATTTTTTTTATTTGTTGATATGTTTTAGGGGACAAATGCCATCTTTTGCACTATAGGTCAAGATGGAGAAATGATGGACAAAAAAGTTATGATTTTAAAAAAAAACCCAAGTTTTTGGAAAAATATCCAAAACTTGTTACAATTACTTTTTCGACTTTATATAATGAAAGTACACCCAATTTACAATAGAAAAGCACCTGCGTAAAATTTTGCTAAGTCACACCATTTCCGAGATGTAGCGGTTTGAAAGTAGATATTTTTAAAATGTTGGTAGTTTTTGGCCATTTTTAAATGTATTTCGCGGTTCTCCAGTTCCGAAATTTTTTTCTGATCTTTCCGAAAAAAATATTGTTGGAACTGGAGAACCGTGAAATACATTTAAAAATGGCCAAAAAGTACCAACATTTTAAAAATATCTACTTTCAAACCGCTACATCTAAAAAACGGTGACTTATAAAAAATTTACTTGAGTGCTTTTTTATTGTAAATTTAGAGTACTTTCATTGTATAAGGTCGAAAAATTGGACCAAGTTTTAGATATTTTTCCAAAAACTTGTGTTTTTAAAAATCGTAACTTTTTTGTCCATCATTTCTCTATCTTGACCTATAGTGCAAAAGATGTCATTTTTTGTCCCCTAAAACATATCAACAAATAAAAAAGTATAAAAATATTTTTATGAGAAAAATTGTTTTTAAGATTTTATTTGAAATTAAAAAAAAAATATGGATAATTTTTTTAGAGTGCATATTTTTTTTCAAATAGTCTCATCCATTATCTGCAATATTGCCCAAGACACCAAACCAATCGGGCAAACAGTTTTTGAGTAAAAACATTTCTGAAGATTAGATGATGTTATTCTATAGGCCCTTTTCAAAAATAAGACTGGATTCAAATTGGTGATATGAAGAGGTAAAATGGCATAGTCGGTCATAAGGAACGTTTCTGCAAATTTTCAACCAAATCAAAAAATACAAAAAATAAACCGATTTGCGAATTCGTAGGAAATTGCTCAACTTTTATCACATTTGTTGTTCTCGCGTTTTTTCCAGAACTCCCCTGGAATGAGTTTCTGAGAAATTCGAATCAAATTCCACGAGCCTTGCTTGGATGGTTGATTTGATTTTTCTGTAATCAGTGATCTTGGTAAACGTTCAATACCCAATATCATGATGATGATGATGATGATGATGATAGACTTCTACCTACTATAGCAAGGCGCCTGCACATAGCAATAGACTGTTCCTTCTACAAGACTTGGTCAAGATTTGATTTCTTATCATACCTATCATACTACTCCTCTATAAAGAGCCAAAAACAGTGGGCCGGATGCATAAGCAACTCCCGCGAAACCCGCGGGAGTGACAGAGAATCACCTTCCAGAAGTAAGTTCATACAAACAGAAACCAAATCAAGCCATCGTGTGGAAGAACGTCTCAATAGAAGGGGGAGAAGAGCCCACCCTCTATCCACGAAATGTTAGCAACAGAGAGTTGGTAATCTCACTCTCCCCATCCAAGGCGATTCAATCGGTTGCTTTGATGGTCCCTCCCGATCTCCGACACATTTTTTTTAAATAATTGATCGAGCAAGAAGCGACCAGCCGCAGTTTTTTGCAATATTTGTACCAAGTACAAAATTAACTAAAATTCTAAAACTTCTCAAACCTGCCCTTCTCAAGACATTACTCATGTTTTTTGTATTCTAGGTTTGAACGATTTTCGGTCATTGAACATTAAATTTATATATGAATATAAATCTGGTCCAAATTTATAAAGTTCAATGAGAGAAAAGAAATAACAACAAATGCATTCTTTTCTGAAAATTCCTTAGAAAGTGAACTTTTTCCATTAAAACTGCCAACGATAATAATTAGTAATGTTGCAAATTCGTAAATCAATACTGATTTGAAGACTTTCGGTTCCGTAAAGTTTTTTAACAGTCTTACCAAATAAACAAACTGAAAAAAAAAATCCTGAAAAGTTCAGAAATTGGCATACTTGAATGAAAATCACATTTTTATAAGGATCCAAGCTCTCTTCCAGTTTTCTTGGGTGTATTTTGCTAGTTATTTTTGAAAAAAAAAACTGTTGGCAACCCTGTGTACCACAAACTTGAAAGTGTCTGAAACATGAACACGAAACTCCGTAGAATATTTGCAGAACAAATCGATGGGTTTGATTTTCAATTTAGCAAATTTCTGAAAAATATACATCAAATTCTGTAGATGTTATCTTCGTAAATCCGTGGAAATAGATCAACTCCATACACCTGCGGAATTTTCCGTAGAAATGTAATCACTGCAACTCGGCCACATCATTTGAGCATTTTATTCGCCCACGTCATTTTCATACCCATGAAGCTCATTTTTCACCCGAAAAAGTGTACGATTTTCCGACAAGCATTCATGGAACACTTTACACTTATTCGGGAGGTCGACTTTGGTACCGACCCACAAGCAACATATTGCACTGCAGCGGCCATATAAAAGCGCCAGAACGATGATGGTGGACTAGTCGCATAAATTGGGTCGCCGCGCCGGTCGGTCGGTCGGGCGCCGGACGTCGAGGAAAATGAAGATAGATAACCATCTAATTATTTATTCACCGCAATCCACCGGCACCGGGAGGGCTGATGGTAAGGAATATGGTAGAAAAGTTTAGTCTGTTACCGCACACGGAACAGTATAAAATACATCGTACGCGATGGTGGTGATGATGATGATGATGATGATGGTAGTCACCCCCAACACGGGGCCTCGACCGGTGGAAAGTCCTTGCCGCGTAAGAGAAATTCTGGCAAATTCATGTAACTTTTAGTTTTCAGCTATTTATCTAGTAATCTGTAACATAAATTGTTTTTTTATTTTTATTTTCGTCGTGCTGAGGGTCAGGTCTTTGTGTGTTCCGTGTTTAGAATAGTGAACTCATAAAGCCGTGAGCGGAGAGCTTTTTCCACTTGGAAAACTGCAAATAAGTTCATTTTATGTTCAAAAGAATGCACGGGTTGCACCGGTTGCCATCAGTCTGTACCCCCGAAACGCTGCAAACCGCTCGACACGTCGAATCGAAAATGGTAATTATTTTTCAAAACAATGAACTTACCATCGGGCCAATTTTCGAACACTGTCAGTGCTATGTCCCCGGCCGAATCGGATGGACTGAACAGGAACTCTTTCGTCTTGCCGCTTACGAGTATCAGTCGCAGGTTTATCTGTTGATGAGGGAAAACAACGTTCAAGGTTTGCAATTAGTAAATTTGTTCAGAGTGAGATGTGAGATAGAAATAAAAATTATCAACAGCAGTCGGTGATGATAAACAAACAGGCAAACAAAAGAACGCTAGGATATTGACAGAACCACGATGACACGGTGGAGTGTCGATGATGGAGAGCGTGGAGCGCTCCAGGCAAGTCAGATTGTGATTTAATTAATCCAGGAAGTCAACATGCGACACAAAGTTTACCAACGGCGACGCGACGCCGACGGAATGGCAATGGGAAATTTGCGTATATTTAAATCATTACACGTTTCGGATGGGGGTGCGAAGAGAACGAACGCGACAGAATGATGACACTTGACTGTGTGTGCGTGCGTACTGTTCCTACCCAAGAGTCAAGTGTCGGTACGGTAGGACAAGAGAGGAGGGGTTTGAGAGGAAATTTTCGGGACGGCCCAAGTGGGAATCAATGTTTAATGAATATTGGCATCGGTGCGGAACGAGCCGGAGGTGGAGGAAATTCATTGGCTCATAAATAAGTAAGGCACGGGAAAGATAAACAAAAGGAGCGAAAGCCGGAACGTGCAGTGGGAAGAAGATGGACGGATGTTGTGGTTTGTGAAGCTATGGTCGAAAGTCACGTGCAAAACTCTGTGTACACCTCCTCTCTTATGGAACGACGATGAAGAAGGTGTTTCGACAATAAATCAACTTCAATTGCCAGTACGTGTATGTGGTCGGTCCGTCGGTCGGTCGAGCCAATATCGGTAAAGTAGGTTGGTTGGTTGGGTGGTGTGAACAAATTCCTATCGGAAACAGGGGAATTCCTAAATGGAATTCTAATAGGAATTATTTTATTTCGCTCATTAATTGTCAACAATCCTAAGTAGAAGGAGAGCATTGAGCAGTTCCATGCCATAATATGACGAGTCGTAAAAGCTTGACCTTCTCCGATTTGCATGAAACTTTGCGTACTTTTTTGTTATAGACAATGATACACATTTCCGCTAAAATTCGGCTTTTTTAGGACTTAAAATTTTCAAAATGGCTTTTTTAGCACGGAAAAGACACTTTTGATCGAAATGAAGTCTGAAACGAAGTTGTAGAAAAAAAACAATGTTTTTCAGCAAAAAAAAAAAAAAATTACAAAAAACTGGTTTTTAGAAATTTCAAGAAATTAAAAAATAAATATTAAAACCTAAATATTTCAAAATGTCCTAGATCGATAAAAAATTGAAAAAAGCTCATAAAAAATACAAACAGTTGGAATAATTAAAATTGTGGACAATTCGGTCATTTTGGATCATCTAAAATTTTCAAAATGGCGTCTTTTAAATCTTTCAAAAATTTGTATCACGGAAATGTCCTTTCTGTGCAAAATGATGTCTGAGAAAAAGACGAGAAGAAGAACGACGTCTTTCTCGGAAATATTTTTTTTTATTTATTTTTAGTAAAAATTAAAAGAAAAGGTTAAAAACCCAAATGTCTCAAAAAGTCCTTTTTGGACATTTGGGTTTTTTTAATTTTTTAATTTTTTGCTACAAATGAAGCTCATAAAAAATACAACCTTTTGAAACGTTTAAAATTATTCACTCTTTAAAATTGACAAAAATCGTAGAACAAGAATGTTTGGTAAAATTTATGAACTGTTCGTCCAAACGTTTTTTTTTGTAATTGTACTCAGAAAAAGAATGAGAGGAATTTTAAATCAAATTATGTAAAAAAAAATACACATTGTAAAGCGTAGCAACAAAAAGATAACAAATTCGACCGAAAGTTCTGGTTCTACGATTTTTGTCAGTTTTCAAGTGTCCATGGCTTTAAATAGAGGTGGGCAAAACAGCTCATCTTGCTGAGCGGATCTGACCCATCCAGCTTCCTTAGGGAAGCCGATTGTTTTGAACAGCTCTTCAGCTCATATTTAAATTATAGAAATTTTGAAAGAAATTCAAAGTCAAACATGAAAACTCGGAAAAGAAATACAATCGTAAAAGTAATCTAAACCAGTGCTTTAAATTCTCAAAATCAATTGCACATTTTTGATGAAAATGAGAAAAGCAGCTATCCGCTATCAAAGGGGACCTCCTTCGAATGGGTGATATCAGTTGCTTAGTCATTTGAGAAACGCTTGATGTCATTCAATTGAGTGTAACCTACACATAAACGGAGCTCTGGTCGACATTCCGCCGAAAAAGCTAAGCCAACCCGACACCAACCTGGTTTCTATCAAACCCCAACTCGATGTTGACCCGACATTGACCCGACATAATCCCAAAATTAACCCGAAATTGGGTCGACATCGACCTTAAATTTGCCTTACATTGATCCGACATCGGGTCGACTTGTCTGTTCGGGACCATTTAGCTGAGTTTCTTCCATACTCCACTGTTGTATATCAAATGATAGTGAGTGACTCAATTGACAGTGACAATGAGCTTCGAATGAGAAAGGGGTTCTTCAAATTATGGCATGTGAGAGTTCGTTTTCACAGAATTGATTGAATGGTTGTACTGGTTCATCTTCAATCGAATGATATGAAAATTAGCGGTACTGGTCTAAATCATTAAATCCGTAGCTTACAATTTGGCTCTATTTTTCAACTGAAAACGCCACTAACGCAACAACTGAACAACCACCGCGCAATCCAAAATGCGGGCGTAATGCCAAATGTGCCGACAACATCATCAGTAAAAGCATACCTACACCTGCGTTCAATATAATAGCAGCGCATGCCGATTTCCATACAAAATGGTCAACTTTGACAAATTGTAACTTTGTTCTCTTAAGATAAATTGAGCTGAAACGTTCACCACAGAACTACAAATATGTTCAATTTTACGATTACAAAATACCAATTTTTTGGAAGTACCTGCCGGAAAGTGAGACACTAGGTAAAATTGTTCACATGGGCACAAATTAGGGGCATTTAGGCCGACATTACATCCATTTCCCCTAGATTCGAATTTATCAAAAATATCAAGACTTGGGGTCAAATCAAGATCTACGATTTGAACATTCGTTTAACTGATATTTTTTACGAAAGTTTATGCTAAGAAAGTTTTGCGTAATTGTTTGTTATGGGCAGTGTTGGGTAAATTTCAAAAAATCAAATCTCACCAATACCCAAGATCACAATTGATTTTCGTAGACAAAAATCAACAAGCAAACAACAGCGGTTGATTTTGCAAGCTGTAAAATTGCAGCTTGGAATATCAAGCTAACGAAACTCACCAGCTGCAAATCTCAACAAGCTGTGGTGAGATTGAGTTTTATGATTTTTGCTTTACACCCGAACGCAACCGAAACTTCCATAACGACTGGCAGCAGTTACTTCGCGTCTGCCCTAGCGTCTGCCATCGATAAACAGTTAAAAGAGATAGCAAGCTATACTTTCTCTTTCTAAGAAAACGATGTGCAACGGAATCATTTTGGTGTCTAGTCAACTCTCCGCTTGATTTTTGCACGTTGTGAATAGTCTCGCAATATCAAAGGAGCTTTTAAAATCAATACCAAGCATGATATTTTGTTCCAATATCACGCTTGATATTGAGAACGTATGAGAGCGGAATAATATAATTTGATTGTTGATTTTGCCAGCACTGGTTATGGGCAACGATTCACATTTTTGCTAAAATTCGGCCATTTTGGATCCTGTAAAATTTTCAAAATTGCGACAATTTTTCAAAAAAATGCAGCTTATCAACGGCATTTCTGATCAAAATGACGTCTGAGACAAATTGTAGAGAAAAATAATGTCTTTTTGGTAAAAAAATAAACAAAAATTGTGTTCTTTCTATTTTAGGTAAAAAATTTAAAACAAATGTTAAATACCCAAATATCTTAATATGTCCTTGCCCAATTAAAAAAAAATATAAAAAAAAACATGAAAAATTCAAAGTTTTGGAATGTTGAAAACAATGTACAGATGAAACTGTCAAAAACCATAAAGCAAGAACCTTTTTTAAAACATGTGAACTTTTAGTTAGTACGGTTGCGTGTATTTTTTTTCCTCAAAATGATTAAAAATTATACAAACAGTGTTTTCTGGGTATGAATTAAAGAAAAAAGTTTTAGGAAAAATTAAAAAAAAATACCACAAAATTACTGTTTTTCGATTTTTGTTTATTTTTAAGAGTCCATCATTTTAAACATTAAACATTTTTAGATATTTAGGATGATTTTTTTTTTTAATTTTTACTTGAAATTACAAAAAAAAAACATATTCATTATTTCTACACCTTTTCCTCAGACGTCATTTCGATCAAAAGTGCCGTTCCCGTCCTACAATTTTTTAATTTTTTATTTTTACAAATATCCAAAATGGCAGAATTGTTGCAAAAATGTGAATCATTGCCCATAGCAAACAATAATGAGCATTTCCAGCGCAAAACGCAAACCGGTTGGACATGAGTGTTTCCAATTTGAATAAAATATTAATTATATGTTCAATGCTGCAAATGGTTGTATTCTTCATTCAAATGTGATTTTTTTCTTCACAGTAACTTTTGAAAAGGGCGTCTTAAAAAATAGATTATATAAAAAAAAAAACATGAAAACCATTGGTCTTATCAAAATGACATCTGAGAAGAAGATGTATAGGTAATTAAATTATCATTGAGGAAAAAATACACTGAAAGAAAAAACTTAGTAAATAATATTAAAAAAAACGTAAGACGTTGATTATTTCAAAACACCCCCCTCCCCCCCATTAATATTTTTACCAAGAAAACTGAAGAAATGCCCTAAAATTTGGTGAAGGGATTTGTTAATTATTTGTTTATATTTGACACTATTTACTTATAAACTAGTTTCTATTCCGCTTCGTCTAAATAGAAACGGGCTGTCAGACTTAGCTGAGAATGAATTGTTTGTTTTTTAATATTTATGTACTATCATGGAAAAAATATCTCGTTGCTGGACATCACGGCTAACATTTGAAAATGGACTAAAATGTTGAAAATTATTATTACTATTATTATGAATTCGCATTAACT